TCTAACGGTAAGAAAATTTCTAGAAATGGGAAAAAAATGCCCTCCAAACAGGGGCTAATATTAGTATCTACTTTCAGGTGTATTTGTGTAATATTATTTTAAATATTAAAAAATTTAATTATAGTACAGAACCGAACGGAATCGAACCGAACCCGAAAGTTCCAAAATTATATTTGGAACCGACGGTTCCATTTACTAAATACCCGAAAATTTCTGGAACCGAAAAAAAGAGAACCGAACCGACCCACGCCCACCCCTAATTAGCAAATTAACTAATTTAGTGATTAATGTCCTAACTCCCAAACCAAATCCATGCCTAGCTAACCCAACCCAACCCAACCCAATTTCTAAATTCAATTTTTTGATTTAATTTTTTGGTCTTATTATTAATTTCATTATTAGCTCAAGATCTAGGCTTTTTTAAGTTTTTATCATTATCTTGCCAATTTCACACTTTTATTCGGTAACCACTGAGTTAATGACCCCAAATCATTTGATAAATTGAAAACCTACATCTACATGCCCAAATCAAAATCGCCGACTACCGAGTCCGACTTTCCCTCTCAATACCCATCGAAGCTGCGACCTTCAACCACGACCACCGATCGTTGACCATTAGAAATTTGTTAAAAAATTTAATTATGGTACGGAACGGAACGGAACTGAACCCGAACGGTTTCATAATTATATTTGGATTCGACGATTCTATTTATTAAATACTCGAACCGAATCGGACCATACCCAACCCTAGGAAGAACTAAAATAAGTGTTTGATAAACTTTTATTTTAGAATCCACACTTTAGTATTTGGTAAAAATAAATAAATTATTTTGTCGTACTTTTGTACTAAAATGAACATTGAGCCCTTGTTTGATGGTCATTATTTTTTTGAAAAAAAAAATGAGTTTTAACTAATGATTTTTTTAGAATGCGTAGTTTAAAAATATGATTTTTTTTTGGATTTACGTTTAAAATATTTTGTAGGATAAATATGTGGTTGAAAATGAGCATGCAATTTAAAATATTTTAAAATAATAGGAGCAAAATTTAAGAATTTATCCATTCGCTGCTCTTTAAATTTGTTGTTAGAAGTTAGTTGTGTTCTAAAATCGATCGCAAACAGGGCCTTGGATCTATTTACATGGTTTCGTTACTAAAATCTCCTACTTTGGGCATGGTTGGCTAATTTATTTATATTTTGATTTTTATTCAACATTTATTTGCTCAATTTGAATTTTGATTGATAAAAAAATTTATAAATTTGTTATAAGTAGCTATGTCAACGAGTCGAGCCGACCCACGAGCCGGAACTCGAAGCTCGGGCTCGTCTCTAGTAAAAATGGACAGAGCTTTTTTTGGCTAGAGTCAAGCCGAGTAAAAGCTCGGTCAAAAAATTTAGGTTCGACCTGAGCTTTCGGCTCGAGTCGAGTATACTCATTTTTTTTAAAATTCGTTATAAATTTAAATTTTTTTAATGAATTTAAATTTTGTGTAATTTATATGTATTATAAATAATAACTTAATATTAACGTATACAAAAAAATACATCTAAAATTAAAAAAACTTTAAAAAATAAACTAAAATAAAACGGCCCGAGCCTCAGCTCGGTCCCATCGAGCCACAAGCCAGCTCGGCTCGGGCTTTTTCCGGGTCGGACCTGAGCCGTCAGAGTTGTCAAGCCATTTTGCCATCCCTAGTTATAAGTTGTCGATGATTTTGCCCACCTATTTGATAGATGTAGTGTTGACAACAGATAATTTGATGCAAAAAATTGACTATTTTTTTAAATAGTCTAATGACAGAATGTCACATGACATTCTATCGAGGAGATTGGCAAAATATTTTGTAAATGTAGCATGATTCTAATCTTTTTAAACTTAGTTGAACATACATATTTTGTAATGCAGAGTCGAATTTGTCAACTATTTCAACCATTTTCATGCACCTCTCAGTATTTTTGGATGTTCACTGTCATGTCTTGAACATGGATGACTAGGGGTGACAAAATTGAGCATGTCGAGCTCGTTTAAAAATGAGCCATGGTCTGAGTAGGATATCCTTTTTTTGATGATGACTAATGGGTCACATCATTTTTGCACTTGTTTTATTAATTTCATCAAAATTGAGTCTCATCATGAGCTGCTGAGCTCGGCAAAAGTTCAAATCAAGCTTAGTTAGTGAGTACGAACCGAGCTCGTGTGTTCATGGATCGAGCAACCCAGATAACAAAGAGATGGGATGGGTGGGTAGAGGTAGGGTGATCTTTCCCATTCCCTTCTTGTCGAGGATATTTGAGAGGAGTCATGCTATGTTTGCAAAGATGAATTACAAAAATGGTTTACAAAATGTAATGTGGCACCTTGTCAATCAGTGATTTAAAAAACACTTCTTGAAATCAACATGATAGATTTTGCCACATCATTTTGTAAATTCACTTTTGCCATCCACTTTGTACAAGTAGATTAATCCATTTGGGAGACGGCATGGGATTAGAATTAAAACTATTCCGAGTCTCCGACTCTTCATTTACTTTTTAAATTCTCTGTCGTGCCTTCCAACGATCCAATCAGCCCAAAATCCCTTCGGCAAATCAATCAAAATAACCCACCCCAAACACGGAACAGCCAAAACAAATCAAAATGTCATCATCATCCTCAGAAAAACCTCCAGCTCTCGCCACTCAAAACCCTAAAAAATGGCGTTTCACATGGGAAGCCCAATCTCACTCCTCCACACTCCGTTTACTCCTCTTCAATACAAACGCAACTTGCTCCTTCTCTCAATTCACAAACCTCAAAGTCAATTTACTTACCCAGCAATCTTTACTCATTGTGAGCTTTTTCGAAGACGAAGCTCAAATTGAGGTATCCCTTCAGGTTCCGACTCCTCGTGTTTTGATTGACGCTGAATCTCCGGTTCATTTCAAAGCCTTTGATGATCACATTGAGGTTAAACTCGTTTTGCTACTTCCCCCGGACCATCCTCTGGTTTCGGAGTTTGATTCGATACTGGACTCGCTGAACAATGGGGTTTGTTTGGATGAGTGTTGCCCGCTTTCCATGGATTCTGGTGAGTACTTATTAAAAACAGTTTTACAGCTAGTTTTACAAATTAATTAGCTTTTTTCGGAAAGGAGCCTAAAAACTCCTGACTAAACTTAGACGGATTATATAAAAGGAAAATAAAATCTTCGATTCAGGTGTTATAGTCCATTGATTACTTACGACAAATATTTTTTTTTTCTAGGAGTTTCCTATTGCCTTCAAATGTATTCAGTATAAAGTGTTTTTGTTTAATGCCTTTGGTGAGTATTCATGATATGTTAGGATTAATTTATATCATATGATCTTTTGCTTTAGATATCAAGAAGTTATCTGCTATGCAAGAGGTGCACTTTTACTGCAGAAACTGCTCAACTAAGTTGACAAAGGATCTCAGGTAGCATTTCCCTGTTTGTTTTTTTGTATTACACTATGATGTGTATAGAATCACTTATGATCTTTTTGGCTGTTGTATCTGTCATTAAAGTTGACCTATTATGAATTTCTTATTTACATCGCACAATTTTTGCCCTTTGATTTTCATTGTTCGTAGCGGGCACAGGAATAATTTTTAAACCAACCTCTGGATGCATTCGTTGATCTTAGAGCTTTATATTTGCATTCTACTAATGCTAGTAATGGTGTTTTAAGTTCGGATTATATTATGACATTTTTTTTTCAATAAATTATGCTTACAGAACCTTTGAGGAAATGCCATCAGTCAACTGGCGAGAAGTCTCTGACAATTGGTTTGGAACTTGTTGTTGTTCTTTTGGAGGTGTAAGTGAGAAGCTGGTCACAAGATATGCAAAGTCCTATATGTGTGCACCTGGTGTGGTCCTATTGAGTGCTACATCCGTACTTCTCTGCAAGGATGACCTTTTGGGATGTGAATTCCCTGATGTGAAGGTCAGGCAAGATTATGATAGTGAGCTAAATTCTACTAGTGATAGTTGTTTCAATATAAGTGCACTAGAAGATGAAGGTAGAGAAGGACAAACAGTGTGCTTTGAGAATCATGAAAAAGGGACAAATGGCATTCCTGGAATTGTTGACAGTTTGTGTCCTGGAGAAGATAATCTTGCATCCAACCTAGAAAGTGAAGGACTAAAACCAGGAGGTGCTGATGATTGTTTATCATGCACATCGCATGCATTGCATACTGAAATAAATAAAGCATCAATAAATAAAATGTGTAATGAATCAGAAATCCACTTAGGAAATTGTGATACTCAATGTTGCTCTCTAGATAGGTCAGAAACCTCTTCAAAGGAGCTAACAGTTGGTACAAATAATGAACTTCTTGAAATTCAGAAAGTATTTCTTAATGGCCATCTGGGGAGTGGTTTCATGGAAAGATCTTCCAGTCTCTCTCAAGACATTCAGTGGATTGAATTCTCTTGTCCTCAGTGCTCTTGTTTGATTGGAGCATATCCTTGCTTCAATGATAATGTACCATTAGATGGTGGTATTCGCTTGTTCAAGTGTTATATTTCAACCTGCTTACCTGTCTGTGGATCAAATGATATGTTCAGGTGAGCGTATTACATTTTTTTATTTAATCTTTTCTTCAATGAATGCTCCATCTCCATTGCCACTTACGATATTAGCAAAAGACTTATCCATCAAAATTATGTTCCTTTTCATGCTTTCATTTGGATGTGCATGTTATGTTAGCTTTTAGCTTTTTATTTTTGGATATTAAACGACGATTCGGGAATAGATAGATTCAAATTGCCCATATTATTACTAAGTTCTGGAATATATGCAACATTTTCTTAATTGGCTCAATAAAGCAATTGGAATTGCTGATAACATCCTTACCTTGTGATCTACTGCTTGGGAGGCTATTCGTAATACTGTAATTGTAGTTACAAATATTAGCTTTTGACGTCAAAACTCTTAGTTGGAATGGTTATTTGAATGTTACCTGTTTATATACAGTAATAAAGAGATGAACAACAGCTGTATGTGGATGTTGCACACAAACGTTCACAACTAAATGCGTAAAATTGTTGTTCATGGTGGTCAAATTATCTCCTTGAAGTATACACATGTTTCGGTTCATGTTGCTTTCTAAATTACTTGGTAGCTGTTGCAAGAGTCATCACCTAATGCATGAAAAGAATGAGAACAGGGGGCTAAAATCCAAGATAGAGTTGTAGGAACAATTATATTTATTCCAAACTCATGGTTCTTAAGAAGTGTTTCTTTTGAACTTGGTGAAAGAGTGACAATGATGGGGGTGAGAAGTATGAATTATTCTAACATAGGAAATTAGCAGGTAGATTTTTTTTTTTTGGTGGGGGTGAAGGTGGTTGAAGGTGTTCAATGGTGGAACAACACAATGGGGAGTGAATTTGAATATGGTGTAACATCAATAATGGTCAGGCCTTGGGTTTGCTCCCCAATGGTCACCAGTTCGAGTCCCCTCAGGGCCACTGAGGTGAGTACCCAGCCGTAAACTTCAGGGCCCCGTGGAATTAGTCGAGGTGCGCGCAAGCTGGCCCGGACATCCACGGTTATCAAAAAAAAAAAAAAAAAAAAAAAAAAAAAATGATAATTG